TTCTAAAAATTATTCACTTATGTGGTGTTACCAGGAGGACTGATAAGGCTGCAGCTACACCTCTCATCCACGAATTTCACACGATAACCAATTATTTACTAAATATTGTACTTTAAAATGGACCATAAGCAAAAAAAATCATTATAAAACAATATAATTTTGCTTTTATCACCCCAGAAAAAGGTTTTTATTTCCGTTACTCATTTATCATTTATAATTAGTTATATTATTTTTTTCGTATATTCAAAATGGGAACTCACTATTAAGATAATATAGGAAAAAATCATCAAAGTACTAATAATTCTAAGATATATTTTACTAATTATTTTCTTTGCAATTGTAGTAATTTTACAAATACCGAAAATATTTCTTTCAACTAGGCAAACAAATTTTCCCAACTGCACAAAAAGTAATTAACTTCACTTTAAATTATAGCCCGATTAAGTATATTTACAAAAATATGTGTTTTAATAAATCAAAAGTTGCTATAAAAAACTAAAAATTATTTTGTTTTTCATGATAATTATTTGATTAATTATAGTTTGATATAAATTAGATTCAGTAGTTAATTTTAGATTATATGAAATGTTTCATTTATTAAACAGTAAAAAAATGTTTAATGTTTATGAAATTATTTATGAACTTTACAATATATCATTTAGAATATTAAAGTCTGCCTAATACCTATAATTATTTTCTATAATAAATTTATCGTTTACTGTATTATATGATAAATGTATTGACTTTATTATTTCAAACGCAACAATTATTTCTTATATTTATAAATATATTCATATTTCATATGAAGCTATCAGCATTTGTGTGAATGTTTTAATATAAACACAAAATTGATTAAAAATACTATAAGTGTTAATTTTAAATAAATAGTAGCCAAACATTTCATAAAATATCAAAACAAAAAATTCAGTATTTTTTAGATAGGATTTGTTAATTTTTAGCTAATAAATTAATATAATTCTAAAAATGAACAGTATTAATTCATATAAATTAAAATTCTTAATATGAATTTTAATAAAACTCTATATTGTAAAGTTCAAAAGAAAAACATTTTAATTAAAAGAATTATTCAAGTAACTTAAAATAACGTTATACTATAATTAAATAAAAATATTAAGTAAAATTAAAAAGGAATATAAGTTTGATAAGTAACAATATTTTTTTATTAGGTTTTATCATCTCTAATACAATATTATTCCTCCTATACGGGTACCTGGTTTGGGCGGATACTCTAAATTATTCGTCCAAAAACCGAGAATCTATGTTCAAGGTGTAGATACCCGCGCGAAGTCCTGCCCCTACCACCACGTGGTGCAACCCGGGCAACGGATCCAACATTGAAAGGCCGCCTAGAGCTCTAAATTTGTAGAGGCGCCACATCGAAGTCATCTAGTAATATAGTAACTTATTAACTAATTATCTGAACTAACACACGCGAAAGGATAGATGCCAGTGTGACCATTATGATATGGTATAATATGGACGAGGATCACATGTGGTAGGGAAAATTATTTGTATAATTATCATGTGTGTATATGTAAAACTGAACCTACAGACGTACGACGCGCACTGTTTGAATATAGTTACCTGTGACCTTAGACTCATGATAATTTTAATTTAATATTAATTACGTTATAAGTTTATACTGTGTTAAACTATACAGGATGATTTTTCTAATTACATTAGAGCGCGAAATTATATGCATTTATAATTTTGTTTAAGCCACTTTGGTAGGTCTCAAGTTTATGCAACTTAGTTGTAGGATATATATATATATATAGTATTCAGCAAGTAAAGAAACAGGTTTCTATTGTTCTTATTATTTGTAACAACTGACTTGTTTCCTTACTTACCGAAAACTCTGTATAATATAACAGAGTTTCATCAAACCTTAATTTTGATAAATACAAATTATATTATTTAAAAAAAAATTATATATTGTTAATAACTAACGAAATAGCATTAGTGAAACGTATACAGAGTAATTAATTGAGAATAAGATACTCATTTTCTCATTTGGTAACATTAATATCTGACTTATTCATTGTTAATGTTTTAGTCTAATATTCAACGTGTTAGTGTTGATGAACTAGAATTGAAATGTATTGGTTGTTTTATGATCCAATAAAGCCATTGTAATGTCTTTGAATCACAATATAGACAATATAGGTGTAGTGTCAATCGTGGATAAGATGAGAGCAAATAGACTTAGATGGTTTGGTCATGTTATGAGAAGAGAAGAATCGGAAGCCGTAAGAACAGTTATAGAAATGAATGTTATAGGAAGAAGAGGTATAGGAAGACCAAGAAAGAAATGGAGAGATGTTATTGAATGCGATATGAGGACAGCTTATGTGAGCGTAGAGGATGTGGAAGATCGTGTCAAGTGGATGTTTAGGATAAGAGTGGCCGACCCCAAGTAGTTGGGATTATGGCGAGGAAGAAGAAGAAGACATTTAGAGCGCTAAATTATATGCATTTATAAATTTTGTTCAAGCCACTTTGGTAGGTCTCAAGTATATGCAGCATTATTGTAGGGTTATATATAGAGTGTTCTAAATTATATATTAAGTAAATAAAAAAACGGGTTTCCATTGTTCTTATTATTTATAACAACTGTCCTGTTTTCTTACTCATTAAAAACTCTGTGTATATCAACAAAGTTTTATCAAACCTTATTTTTGACAAATAAAAATTATATTATTTCCTCCTAAGTTTCAAAAAATAATTATGTATTGTTAATTACTAACGAAATAGCATTAGTGAAACGTATATAGGGTGATATATAAGAATAAGACACTCATTTTCTTAATAGGTAACATTAATCACTGACTTATTCATTGTTAATGTTTCAGTCTAATATTCAACGTATTAGTGTTGGTGAACTAGAATTGAAAAGTATTGGTTCTTTTATGATCCAATAAAGCCATTGTAATGTCTTTGAATCACAATGAGCTATAAATATATATTTACATTCATTTGTTTTTTTTTATATTAAATTAAAGAATATTTAAAACTGTTTTTAATCTTATAATGTTACACATTTTATTTTAACAGCTTGATGTCAATACTTTTTTAAAATGGAAATATAAAGTTTATACAAGTTGTTAAGTATTATTACATTATGTACCTTATTATTTGAACATTTTATTATCTATAATAAAAGTATTAATGGAAATTGATTTTATAAGTTTTGTGTTATATTTAGTTTTATTATATTAACCCTAAATAAATAATTTTTTTTCACATTATCTAGATATTTTTGAATGAACATCTCATATACTTGAATTTAATTACTACTCATTTTTTTGGTACCTTTATTACTAATTGCTACTAATTTTTTTACACTTTTATTAATAATTGCTATTAATTTATTTCATATCTTTAATACTAATTGTCACTAATTTATTGACACTTTTATTACTAATAGCTACTAATTTGTACACATCTTTAATACTAATTGCCACTAAATTTTTAACTTTTTAATTTTTAATTTTTAAATATTTTAATTTAATTTAATCACAAATTCTTTTTCTTGTGTGTATCATCTTCAATGAACTCGTGTATTTTGTGTTTCTTTTCCTTCGAAAATCTTTTTCCCTTAGTTTATAAGGTTCGGGAAACGGTCTTGTCTAAGGACATTATGGTTATTTGTCAACTTATCAATAGGTTTTGATGTACATCAACAATCAACAACTCATCAGACAACAATTATAGCTTTAATTATTTATAAGTTTAAAATTATGTCTATATTTAATATTATTATGAATGGTTAATTATAAAAAAACATTTTCTTTTCCTAAGTATTTAGTAGTAACTTAATTCAATTATGACCTTAAAATTGAGCAACATAATTTTTTTTATTCTTATTATTTTTAAAAGATATAAAATTAACTTATATGTTACCCAGTAAACTGACAACCCTATAGTTTATGTTCCTAGCGCCATGAAAGTTGCAAAAGTTATCTGTTGTGTCCAAAATTCGATATTCATAATATGTAACCTTTTACTATTAATGGAAAATCAACTTAGAGTTCACATTATTATCAGCACTACTTCCAAATTATCACAATTTGCTGGTACGTGGGTGTATAATCTATCGCTCATTGATGTACCAATCGAGTTAGATAGAAAATATGTAGGTGACATATTGTTCTTTAAAATCTGAAGGGATGAAAGATTTGATTGAAAGGAATAAATTTAATTAGTTTATAACTAACTTAAAACTAATACTTAAAAAAATTTCAGTACGTGTATTACTTTTCCAATCTAGTGGAATTGGCTACAAACAGATCATTTCTAGGAATAGATTCTTTGAAGAGAAAGATCTTCTATTCGTGACTTTTCCACTTAAATTCGAAAATGATTGGAATAAAATAACATAAAAAACAAGTTGACAAAATAACTAGTTTTTTTATTAAAAAAATTTATATATTTATAATTTTTTTTTTGTTTCTGTACTATATTGTAAATTATACATTTTTAAATACATCAGAGTTTTCGTACTTCACCCGTAAATGCGTTATATTCCATTTGACAGTCGTGAATAATTACATAATAGATCAACCGTTGAAGACTTGACGGTATGGTTTTGTTTAGAACAATTGATCACGACTATGGGTCTACGTTTTTTGTAATTTATAAAATCTATTAAAGGGTACGAATCTTTACGACTGTAGTACATTTTCTGGAATTGTGAGTATGAGATGTAAAACGTTGTGTACTTGTTGTTTTCGAAATCGGTGTTTTGGTTCTCGTAGGGGTATTCGTTCACATTCAGATACGCTTTGACGTTTCTCAACGAACAGTGATCGAAATCTGTAAGATCGTGTTCTTTGGAGCAAACAAACGTGCGCATCAACCACGTGTGATGAGTTGTCTATGGTACCAAACGGCAACGTCCCAGTGTTGGAATTCTAACAGGTNGAGCAAACAAACGTGCGCATCAACCACGTATGATGAGTTGTCTATGGTACCAAACTTCAACGTCCCAGTGTTGGAATTCTAACAGGAGCCATTTCTTGCTGTCCAGAATTGTTATTTTGTTAAAAATTTTAAACACAATTTATTTCGTTGGAGTTTTGATATCTACTATAATTGTGCACGATTGTGCATCCTTTAAAGTATCGTTGCAGTTCCAACGGTGGTCATAAATTACCAAAACTATCAAATTACGTAACGCATTTACCACGTTTACTATAAGCTACCCAATGTGTGCAAGGGTAAGTGAAAAGGTCCAAATTCACTATAGTCATTTCGGTTATTTGAGGTCCTGATTGCGGTAACGTGTCATGACAAAATACGTCACGAAACACTTTACAATCAAGAATACAGTTACCGAAATTTACAATGTCAACATCATACAAGGCACGATCGGGTAGCTGCAAAATTAATTTTTTGTGCCGATCGTTTTTGTTTTTATCCTTTCTCCGCCGTCGAATTTAGTACTTTTTGTATGTCTTACAACCGGATGTTTGTAGATAAAAACTTTTACCCGTGCTTATCGCTGTATTGCCTTTACGGCTGAGTGCGATCGCCACCTTGACTACATTTGCAGCATGGATGATCGATGAGATAGTTGGAAGTGTCGAAGTATTCAAACAGATATTTTTTCATAATTGATCATTCAAAATTTCCAATAGGCATCGGTTTTAATAAAAAAAAAAAAAAAACTGTTCCATATAAAATTGTAGCATCTAGGTATTGCAGATATTTATGTAGAATATTGGGATTGTAGTCGGCGATGTCTGGGTGATTAGCTCGAGCATACCGCTGATTGACCTATATTAAATATAATATATATATATATGTATATGTGTGTATAATAATATAAATATAAATATTATTAAAAATATATTTTTATTTTTAATAATCACACATACTTGTGTCAAACCTCCACATATCCCAATTCAAACATTAATAACATATCTCGGTCTGTTATCAATTCAATGTGGATATCAGTGTATTTTAATATAGCGTCAAATGACAGGGCTCGACATGAGTAATAATGAGTGGGATCCAGGGAATAATTTTTCAAATCTCCATGCGAAACTTTTCAAATATGTCAGCAAGTACTTAAAAAAAATAAATGTATTTATAATTGTTAATTACTAAAAAATGAACAATATACCATAACGTCGACAAATAAATACTTTTCACTATAATCGCCGAGAGTTTTGCATTAAAAGTGTTGCCACATTTTTTTTGCATGTTCACAGTCCTCTTCAGATATTGTAGATTTCGTAATGGAACTGTAAAAATTTTCGCGTACCGGCAGCTGTATTTCTTGGAGTTTTTCCCAACTGTCTACGTATTCGTATGGGAAAACAGATATCCGTGTGACCAGCTCCAACGATTTAAAGATATTTAATGTATTTGCAAAATCAGGTAAAGTCAATGTGGTTGTAAGTTGATACAAACTCTTTTGCAGAAATCGATATGAATCTATAAATTGAAGTTGAAAATAATCGCTTATTGTCTTACTAAACGAAATATATTTTTCTTCAGATTATGCTATAACACTAACATCTTTATCGTCGTAAGCTATTTCTGGTATTATGTACGTATGGTATGTACGAGTCATAGTTTGAAAGACCATGCATGATAACTGGAATGAAAGGGGTATATCGTCGTTGTAAATTACATTTGTGGCATAAAACAGCTCGAAATTTTTCCGTCCATTGGTTATGGTCCTTGACTTTTACTATTTTATCGGTAAACTCTATTAAACACGAGTCACAATGTTTTGTGGTATCGAAATGATGTTGTTCCTCAGAAGTTAGAGGGTTAATCTCGATGCTAATTTTCATGATATCTGATACTTGTTTTCCAATAGCCACCAACACTAATACAAAATGTTTAGGAGCATCTGGTCCACGATACATTAATGATTCCTCCGGTAATTCATGACTCTTGTTTTATGGTAATATATTGGAGTTGCACACTACGTAAAAACAATAACTCGTTGGTTCATGTTTTTGTATAATCATAGAGTTATCCGATATTTGTTCCATCGTTCGAACAAGTAAACTTTCCATATCAGCGTAAATTGGTTAATACTAATGGTATTGGTTCTTCTCATCTTGTGTTATTAAAACGTAGTATTGAAAGATCAGAGTTGTGCTGTGATAAAACAACGCGAGCCTCCTTAAACTTTTCACACATTTTTTCATGTTCTTTAAGTCCTTTTTTTCCCACTCGGATGAGTTAGTACGGTTGCTCGTTAAACATACTGAGACATCGTCATAATTCAAGAATAATGAAATTTAATCTATTATTCTTGAATTGAAAAAATAGAGATATATTATGGTAGAATTGTAAACTTGAGTTAAAAAAGTAACATGAGCAAATATATTTTATGAACTATTCATAGTAATAGTTTGTAAGACACTTTGAATGAAAACATAAAGTTACTGTAAAACTGTCAAAGTCTACTTTTTATACGTATGTTTTAAGTTTTGGACGCCCTCTGTATAAGAGAAAATTTCCCGATTAAAAAAAAAGGCATGACGGATGAAAAGTATATACATAATGTATTTAGAAAAAAAAATTTGTTACATACATATTTAGAAATGTTATAGCAATTTAAAGTTGAAAATTGAAAATTTTAACACAAAAATAGCATTTTTTTAACTAAGGCAGCCGTTTGCATGTAGAAGATAAAACGTTGAGACAAATTTTTTTTTTTAATTTATTGTATGTAACATAAGTCAAATTAATTATGTTTAAAGGACGCTGTATTTCCAGAACATTTTTAAAAGTTAAGTTGAAAATGTTGAGTTTTGTAAAAAAGTCGCTATTTTGAATCCCTTCTTGTGAGTGGGTAAAGATTTTGAAAAAAATTATATCAAATAAAAGGGAATTGCTTACAATTTCAATATAAAAAAAATTATTTTATTTATTTATTTTTCGATGTGTTGTGGCAATTTTTATAAAAAAATTTTAAAAAACGTCGAAATTTACAGATTTTAAAAATTGTAATTTTTAAATGAATTTCCTCTATTTACGGAGAACAAAGGAAAAAATTTTAATGTTTAAAGGGTAATGTCTTCAACTAGATACGATTATAGGATACGATACTAGATAGACGATTATATTATCTTTCAGCATATCCGATCAAAAACGCCTTGTTATTATCGATGAAGAAGTCACTTTTATTGTGCATGAAATTCTCGGGGCTGAATAAAATAAAGTGAATTAAGATATTAAATACTTAATAGGGTACAGTAAATTTTGAATATTATGTTGTTTTCGAATATACCATGCTATCTAGTGTTGTATAAACAAATTGTAGTGAGGTGTAATATATAGAATTAATAAACACTTTTACGGTTTAATAACAACTATACTATATTACAACGAACTAACAAATAACAGCGAGAGACGAAGCGCGTTTAAGACAGAATGCGTAAGTGATTGACTGATCGATTGATTGACTGGAGCGACGATCTTGCCCTTAAATTGTCAGAGGAATCTTCTAGAGGCGGCGGCGGAACGCTCTAGAACATTCGACCGCCACAAAATTATGAAAGTTAGACAGCTCTCATAGAGATCTCATCTCATTTAAAGTATTTTAAAGACAAATTTAAGAATTTTTTAATGGTGATTCATGTAATTAATTTCATTTATTGTAAAGATTTGTAGCCTCGATTGGAAGCCAAGGTGTTATATTCACCATTATGTGATTTTTGCGTTTATGCATAAAATTTCTATACTCTCAGTTAGACCGATTTTGTTAATTTAGACATCAAAAAATACCTGAATTTTATCTAGTTGAACTTTTTTCTTCAAAAATTAAAAAAATTTTAGATGTATAAAAAAATATCCCAAGTTAGTAATAATAAGGCCAAATTATATTTTTTTCCACCTTTATATTCACAAGAACATTTTTAATAAAAAGTTCTTTATCATTTTTTTATTGTTTTTTTAAATAAAAATTGAATCTTAATGAAATTTCTACGTTAATATCATAGTTTGAAATCTTATTTTTATTTGCATTTTTTCTTTTTTAAAAATTGCCGACTCAAATATTCTAAAATTACATTAAATTTATGAGTTTAAATTTGATAGAATAGTTATTTTTATTTATATTCTTACCCTTGAAATATAATTGCAGCTGACGTAGAAGTTTAGTCATAAGAACACATTTTTATTTTAATTTACTTACCAAAAATAAATAGCAAATATAAAATGAATAGTAGACTTTTTAAGAGTTATACAATTTATTAACAATTCAGATAATTGAGATACAAACTGTTAAATTTTTGTCTAAAAAATTTTGTAGTTTTTTTTTTATTTATTTAATGTTATCCTCCTTTAAAAATTCAAAAATTCAAAAAAATGTCTTTCATATTATATCAGAAAAACTATTTGATAATTGGTGAATGGGGTGTCCAAATGTCAAAATTAACTTGCAATAGAGCTTGTTTTTTACTAATGGAACAAGTTATGTAATAATGAAACATAAAAGCCATAAATCTACTGGTTCCCTTGCTCATTTTACCTTTATTAAATGTCTATGATTAGTAGTACTCTACTTAACCATATAAATCAATTTTATTGTTCATTTTCTAAAACAAAAGTTATGTTGAAAAAAATTTAATTTTTCCATTTAAAAATATTATAAGCATAGCAAGATTATGTTGTTCAAATATTTAGTNTAAAAATGTTATAAACATAACAAGATTATGTTGTTCAAATATTTAAATATCTCAAATTCATTTTATCAAAAATAATTTATTTTCAAAAAACGATAGGTACGAGTGAAATTTTGATAAATGCATTACTAGAATAAATACAATGAAAATCTGTTAAATATTATACCATGTTTATTAAAATTAAATATTATACACGTAATAACTTATAATTAAATAACAAATTAAAACTAACAATACTATGAAATTTATTTAACTTGTCTTATTTCTACAGACATAGAGAACTGATTGACTAAATTCCGTCCTCTTAAACACAAGTACAGCTTTTCAAAGAGAACGTTGTTTCGGTCTCAGAGTGGACTGTATAATACGTTTACTTTTAGCTATCTACTTAATAAGAACGAGATAAACCTTAAAACTTTTAACTTAGTGTGTAATACTTTATTTTGTATACATATTTTGGCGTGCGCGTCGTGCCGTCCATAACGATGACGAATTCATCCTTTTATTACTATCACTACAATAAAAGAAACCGGTACGCACCGGCTAAACGCGCTTATCTCATACAATAACCCAGATAGCAAAAAAATAATTCATCATCATTTTAAAAATATTAAAATTGAAATAATATTATTAAATAATCATTTTATTTTGATTCAAATTGCAATATAAAAATGTCATAAAAATATTAATTAGTTATCATTTGGCCACCAGAATAACATTTTAAAAATGTTAAAAATTTAACAATATTAAAATAATATAATTTTAAGGTTTAGTTAATATTATTCAACAATAATAATATTTTGTTTATTAAAAAATCTGGCTATTATTTATAATTATTAACAATTATTTTTGATAAAAAAATATAATTTTAACCATTAAACAAAAACTTATTTCGCATACTAATGTTTAAAATCAAATGTAGGTGTCCTAAGGAACTAAAAAATAAAATAAAATTCCAATACAACAAATTCAATAACACTTTATTATATTATATCAACACATTAAAACATTTTCATTTTTAAATACTGCCGCGATAATACTGATTTTATAAAATCAGAAAATACAACTTTTAAAGATTTTTAATAAAGAAATTAAAAAATTTTTACAAAAAGTAAAAGTTAATTTAAACAATATTTATTTGTAACTATACAATGTTAAAACAGCATCACAAAATAAATAGCCCATAATGTTGCAGACAGTGCTCGGCAAAGTATTTCTGTTTAATCTTGTCAATTCCATAATCTAAAAATTAAATTGATGGTTATAATCATTATAAAGATATACTAAAGAGTAAGCACCCAAAACTTTTGTTTATCCATTATAAATTGACAATTAAAAAATTAAAAATTAAAAAAAAAAAACAATTTTCAAGTTGAAAGTTTATTTTGGTGGTACTCAAATTAAACCCCATCAAGTTTCACTGCTGAAAAAACAAATGTGTTTAACTAATAAAAAAAGGACTTAAGCACCTATTTATTGATCTCGTACCAACTGGTTATTTAGTTTTTCTACAGTTACAAATTAATAGGGGTGTTATTTATTTTTAAACAAATTTGTTATAAAAATGACATTAAAGCACTTGTTATATAAATCGAGGGAACTTTAATTAAATATAAGTAAAGAAATATTAAAAAAAAAAGTATACCTTAATAATAATAAAATTGAGTCATATTGGCCATTAATAAATAAGAAGAATACAAAAAGTAAGATAACACAATAAAAATGTGTAGATCATTACAAAATAGTCTAAACAAAAACAACTCATCAAATTTCACTTACGGCTTTTGTTTTGAAGAAGACATCAGTAAGTTTATGNTCACTTACGGCTTTTGTTTTGAAGGAGACATCAGTAAGTTTATGTTCAAATATTTTTATGTCTTCCTCATTATTCAAGGGTAACAAAGAAGAAAAATCTTCATATTCTGAGTTGTCTTGAATATTGCAACTAACATAGCAAGAATTACCATTTTTCATCATACTTTCAGTATAGTTCATACTTTATACAACTACTGGTTACTTAATACACCAATCAGAATTTTCTATTCTTTTAAAATCTTGTATATCTATGCTCTCTTATATTCAACACATCTATTTATACATTATATTCATAATCTTAGAATAACCTGATTCTTTTATTTGAGCTAATTATTATTTTAATAAAGGCTATAAAAAAAAAAAATTAAATAAAGAACTAGGAGAAATATTTAATAAACGCATACTGTCTAATCATATTATACACGTTTCAGTCATAAATCAATTATTAGTCACTTTTAATATCATTCTTTATCGAGAAGAAATCTATCAATTATACTTGTCGTATTTTTACTCTAATCAAAATAATTAAACGCAATATGCCATCCCTAATCTTAAGTGTAAAGAACTATATTAACGTTAAATAAAATGTCAAAATGAATTGTATACTATTCATCTGTAATAATTTTTATATTTTATGCTTACCTATCAATAAACAATTACATTGTAAGAATAAGACAATGATGATTTTTGGGGATACAAAATATTAAAAAAGGCAGAGCAATCCTTTACAATCTAGTCTGTTCTAATCGCACACTCGACATCGTTACGTAATAATTGTGATCATCATTTTCGGAATTTTTACTTGTAAAGTTGTAAATTAAAAGTAAAATATGCGTTATTTTATTTATCAATTACTACTTAATACTGTCACTGAAGTTATTCTAAAAACAAAGAAAAAATATCAAGTAGATTTCAAATTAATAATAGTTAAGACTTACATTATTTCATAGCCCTTAAATCACACTCCGAATGAAAGTAACTCTCATTTTATCATACATTCCTTTCAATTTTTCATATTTTAAAATTCTATCATTATTTATTAAAAATAAATAAGTGTTTAACATAAAAATTTATAAAGTTTTGAGTTACTATATTTTTCGCGAGTACCGGATGGTCCGTGTTTTAGGCTATCACAAGAAAATAAATGTTAAGGTATTTTTATCCCTAAAGGGATAAAAAAAAAATTATTTAACTACATATTATTATAGAAATTTTAAATGATTCAATATTTTCCTTTACAAAAATAAAAAATGTTTAATAATTTCAAAGAAAATGAGTGTCATATCCTTAATGAATCACTCTGAATATGACTTTACAAAACTAGATAAAAATTGGATATACATAATATTTTTATGTTTAGCGAATTGCAGAGGTTTGAAGAAAATCAAAATAAAAGATACAACTGACAAAGAAATCATAGCAGCTATTGGGAAATATAAACTGATTCAAAAAGAAGACTTGAATACTTTTCAAAAATTCCAATACTGCATAAGTTACTTACTTAATTTTAATATTTTCATTGTAACAAATTAAACAATTATGTTTTTTTTTTAAATAATTATAATAATTTACTGTATTTTTTAGATGTACTACTCCCCCCAAAGACCACGCCATTCACCACCTCTCGAAGTATGGTGAATGGGTGAGGGGAGGGGTGACCAAAGTTCCCTATATTACATTACAGATGTTCTTTCAGGCAATATTTGCACAATGAACCTGCGATGTACATCATACAAATTTTAACTATATTTGATAATGTAAACTATTATACCAATAATTTAGAAACATACACCCAGAGAAAAACCTCGATCTATTTAATAAATTCATTGTTCAATTTGATAAATATATCATTACTATTGAATCTATGATATATTTATCACTATGATGATTTTTTTTCTTGTCTTGAACAATAATTATTCATAAGAATAATTATTTTGTTCATATTAATACGTTTTCATCTAATTTTATAGTTGTTCCTAAATCTATCCTTAGAAATAACTATTTCTTACAATAAACTAGATAACCATAACAATTTATAAAAATAATAAATGTTTAATATGTACATTTTTATAAAAAAAATCATTATTTAACAAAAAAATTAGGGTATTTTTCTTAAAAAAACACAGCGTGTATAATTTTTTATATTTTAGGGTGATTATTTGTCTAGGAATTAAGCTCTTTTTTAGTTGCACATATTGTACCAAAATCTAATAATAGAAAAAATAGATAGAGCACATCGTTTTTTTAGAAATTGAAATGTAAATTTAGAGCAGGAATTAATTAGTTAAATATTCTTAGTTTTCTTTTATTAAGACTATTTTAATTTGTGCTGGTAAAAAAAGCTTGAATTTACTGCGACGAGCTTTCATAGATTTCCCTTTTTCTAAGTACTAGTTAAAAGAATAAGTATCAAATGAATCGTCTACAGGATATCAGGAACAGGATATCGCTATTGACAATATCAAGAAAAATTTCTATGAAATATGAGGAACTTAAATGGTATTTAAATCAAGTAATAAATATGTAAAATTAGAAATAAGTAATTTATATAAAAAAAAGCTTTGACTATCTAAAAATATCAAACATTTTTTTGATGTGTAATAGAAATTTGTCCATAAATCTCTAAAACAAATATCATAACTTGAAATTTATAATAGAATAAATAAATCATATTATTTTCATGTAAATATGTCTGTGCTAAATAAAATTTTAATACGATCCCAATTTACGTTTATATAAATGTCAAATACTTTTCAGGTAGTTCAGTTTAAGAAAAATTCAAGTGTTAATTTTCTGACTTAAATATACATTTTTTTAGTTATACAAAATAAAAAAATGTTTTTTGCTACAATTTTAGTTGCAATAATAATTAGTTATTGTAATGAAACACACGGTGTTTCTGAAGACGCATTATTGTTTCTGAGAAACGAACCTGTATTATACTCAGAAGGTGGAATTGTTTCGTTTGGATGCATAATCGAGGAAGCATCGAGATTTGATGATATTACTCGAAATGTCAAAATAAATAATGGTCTAAAAGACGCTGTAGAATCACGAGTAAACAAATATTTTCTTGCATTGTCCGTTTACTGTTTAGAAGCATTGCAATTTAAACAATCAACTAAATTTTCTGTTGACGCAGCTTATAACGTGTTTAATACAATCAATGGCATTATTCCAAATTTGGAAAATATGGACAATTCAAAACCTATTAAACAAATATTAAACATAGTTTTTAGACAATATTTTCAAATATTGAGTTCAACTGAATCTAATATTGAGTCCAAGTTAAATAATATAATTTATTATTGTATACGTTTATTTAATCTATACAAGGACTATGAAAACAATGGAAATGATCTTGATATATCAAGACTCAGTATTTCTAACGTTAAACCACAATTCAAAGATGTATATCAATCAATCCTAAAGTTAATCCAACCTCACAATGTTCAATTAGATATTAGTTATGCATTTATTGAAAATGATAATTTAAATTTGGACAACGTTATTGATATTCTATGTCAAATACAACAACTTATGAATTTTGAATTGGGTACATACTTGCAATAAAAGGCTGGATGTATTGTTTCTTTTTAAAAAAATATACCGTTTAACAGAAATTTAATATTTTTCATTTTAATCATCTATTTACAAATTTTATAATTTTGATGTTGATTTTTAATAAAATTTAAATTTTGGTAGAATGTAGCAAAATCATATGATAACTTGTAATCTATTATGATAACCTTAAATAAACTTAATACGTAATTAGTCTAGTTTATTTATATTGGTGAGTTATTTTTTTTTCAAACATAATATATTTATTTAATAATTTTAGTAAAAAAATTTGTGATATAAAGCTATACTAAGTATGACAAATTGGTCTTACCACATCACCTACTAGCAAAAATAACAAAACCCGAAAAAATAAATTTTACAAGAGAGATNTTTTTTTTGTTATCGTCTTGCATCATTAATTTGAAAATTACATTTAAATATTATTTTTAATATTGAGGTACGTCGTATTTTTGGAATAAAAATATGTATAATTTGTTTATTTAAACATTTTTTGAGATTCACGAAATTTTTAATTACTTTTCAATAAATTATATCGGATGGTCTCAATTCGAATTAATATAAAAAAATATAACTGCATAAATTTTAAGACAAATATCGTGCACTTGTTAACTAGTTGTTCCAGTTCTTTCTAAAACCAACACTGCTTAGATCTCGTATAAAACTTTTAAGAATAAAACAAATATATGCTTCAAATAAAAAGAAAAACATTTAAGCATTATATAAAAGTTTAATTTTACAAATAAATTCAAATAAGGTTGGTCCGAATAATAAATTATATATTTTACGTCAAATCGAGTGAGGGTTGTCAAAATAAATCGTAGTCACAAAAAAAACCACATAGTAAAATAATAATATGCATAAGAAATATCTTCTCAAGAGGGGAGACAATAGTGATGGGATTTTTGATATTTATTGAAGTTACTGAATCAAAATGCGATAAAAATAAATTATTTTAAAATTGCTTTTTAACTCAAAAAAAAAAATTCAAAATATAAATTATCACAGGCGAATTTACACTTCGTACCCTAAGCGTGAAAGACACTAGTGTTACCAATTCGGCAACTGTTCGTCGCTCTCATTTCATGATAAAATTTGTAATTTAAGCTAAATCAAATTTAAAAGTTACTTTTTCGACTTTATAAATGTAATAAAATTTTAATTAAAAATTTAATTTCTTATGTCTTATGAACTGTATTCTATGTTAATTAAATAATATATCGTTCATAAAAGTCAGTGTATTGCCCTTATAAGATATTTTAAAATAAAATAAAATACAAAACCCAGGATTTTAACATAAAAATAGCATATTTTTGAATACGGTAGCCATTTGCGCATAGAAGGAAGGTCGTCGGGACAATTTTTTTTTTTTAATTCTATAGTACATGACATAAGCTTTAATATGATATATATTTAAAGGACACAGTATTTCCGGAACATTTTCAAAAGTCAAGTTAAAAAAGTTAGTTTTTGTAAAAAAGTTGCTATATTAAATCTCCCCTGTGAGCAGAATAAGTGTTAGATTTTCAAAAAAAAATGATATCAAATGAAAGGGAAATATCTAAGGTTTTAATATAAAAAAAATTATGTTTATTTGTTAATTTTGGAAAAATGTATGGAAGTTTATAGAAAAAAAATTGAAAAAAATGACAAAATTTATCGATCATAAAAATTGTAATTTTTTTGGAGATTTTCTACATTTACGGGGAACGAGGGAAATTTTTTCAATTTTTGCGGGTAATGTATTCAACTAAATACAATTTGTGATCTTTTGACGTATTGTTGAAAGATATCGGTCCAGTGAGAGCTGAGAAAAAGTAGTGACAGACACAAAAAAAAATAAATAAACACACATGGTAAAATTAATACCTTCTCAGCTTTAATTAAAAATTAAAAAAATGCAATTTTTTATTGTTATACAATGTATGACGAAAACTATGCTCTTTAGTACACATGAAAAGGGGGATACCACAGTATTCAATATTTTCCAAGGGTACTCTAATCAAAATTGGATTAGAAAATTAGAGACTGACTATCGTATGCAAAAATATGCTATTTTTTTGAATAATTTCTTGATATTATATTTTACATTATTTTACATTATGATACTATAACTTTTTAAAAAATGCATGAATCAATTCTATTCTTTAACAATAAATACTTTATAGATACCTCTTTATTAAATTTATTTAAGGTTATCATAATAGTTACAAGTTATCATATGATTTTGCTACATTCTAACAAAATTTAAATTTTATTAAAAATCAACATCAAAATTATAAAATTTGTAAATAGATGATTAAAATGAAAAATATTAAATTATTATTAAACGATATATTTTT